ATTATGTCCGATAGTTTTCCGGACCCAGTGCCCATTTTGGGGGTAGGTCCGATCACTTTCCGTACCCATTTCTAACCCTAACCCTAGGGTTTTCCGTACCCACCGAGCCGCCGTGCATATCGGACCTCTGGCTGGGCTTTCGGGGGTCCTGCAACCACGGTCCACGGCGCGCGGCGAAGTGCTCTGATCAGCGTAACGTGTCGCGCCTGGGAACAGGGGCTAGCCGGGATCCAGCCGGGACCGATTAAGGGTCCAATGGTGGTCTACTACTACTACTACTCTGCTCCAGCCTTTATTCGAACCATCATCTCGTTTCTACGTCACGCATCGCAAACATACGTCTTCCTCAGCTCTTCTCTAGACTCACAGCTCGAAGGATGGCATGGATGAGCTCTGGCAATACCAACGAGGAATTGATCAAGAATATGCGCGATAATGGGCTCATTCACTCTGACCGCGTTGCTTCCGTACGCTGTAGTCTGCCACGATATGACCGACTCGCCAGTGACTGAGAAGTGCATAGGCAATGGCTGCCACTGACAGGGCGAACTATGTGCTTAACAAGCGTGCCGCGTACGAGGACTCGCCACAGTGCGTATACGGCGCTTCGACTTTGCGGCTTCTCGATCTGGACATATTGTGAAGGTCGATAGGCTGCGACGCGACTATCTCTGCGCCACACATGGTGCGTGCTCATCTTCTCACTTGGTAAAGGTCTATTATACTGACGATCTATTGGCATAGCATGTACATGCAGCAGAGAACCTGCTTCCCCTTCTCAAACCCGGCGCACGCGTCCTCGACGTAGGCTCCGGCTCAGGCTTCCTAAGCGCCATATTCTACCACCTCGTCACGCCCGACGGCATCAAAGGCAAAGTAGTAGGCATCGAGCACATCCCCGAGCTCGTCGACTGGAGCCTCTCAAACCTCCGTCGCGACGGCTTAGGTGAAGCAATCGACGCGGGCCGCATCGTGATGATCACCGGCGACGGTCGACAAGGTGCACCTGAACATGGCCCGTATGATGTGATTCATGTTGGTGCGGCTGCACCGAGTATGCCAGGGGAGCTGGTTGAGCAGCTGAAGAGGCCGGGGAGGATGTTTGTTCCTGTGGGCCCCGATGGCGGGTCGCAGGCGGTGTGGCAGGTCGATAAGGATGAGGAGGGGAATGTTACGGAGAAGAAGTTGTTTGGTGTGATGGTGAGTTTGTCCTCCATCGTGCTCGTTGTACCTCGCTGAACATGCCTCAGTATGTGCCTTTGACGGACAGGAAGAAGTCCGTAAGCCCGTGAAAAACGAAGGTCTGTGTCAAAATGTAACTTGTATCCATTTCTGTACGATATCCAGACCGTCTATACACGATATACCATGACCGTTCGCAATCGCAGTCCCTCTCCGACTCGACTCTCGACTCAAGCAGCCACGCTGCGTCCTCGCGGTTCAGACTCGCATACCCCGATCAAGGGCCCGAACGTCTTCTTACACGTTGCTACCATGGTTGTGGCACCCTGGTACCTCGATCTCTCACTCACTTCACGCATATAGCCGGATGCGTATATGCGTTCTCGTCGTCCCGCCAGGAATAGCGCAAGCTTTCACGCACAACGCTACCCTTGAGCACAGCTTACAGCTTACAGCTTCCGCTTGGCCTCCGGAACACTACTCCCACCTCCGCACTACAGCATGACTAGCACGCCTAGCAGCACGACATCCGAGCCAGTCAGCCGCCGTTTAGTGTGACGGAACCACTATCTGAGTCTCGATCACTGACACCGTCAGTCTCGCGATATCCAGGCGTAGGCGTGGCGTGTCAGCGGAAGTGGGAGAGAGTTTGACCACGGAGATGAAGCGCGAGATAGGAAGGTCTCGGACGGAGGATTGGACGATGGGTTCTTCGATAGTGGCTGGTCGGATTCGGGTTCGGACGAGGCGCTGTGGGAGGTCTGGATGGGGAGTAGGTTCTACGGCCTGAGGTGCATGATTGAGCTCAAGGGGATTGATATCGAGAGCAGACTACGCCCTCTGCTCCGTCGGATGGATTGTGCGGGTGCTTCGGCCGCATCGCACGCATACAGTTCTATGCGGTAGAGACGGGTTGTTGACCGCTATGGCTCTCCTCGGTCGCGGAGGCGAATGGTAGGAATCGAAGATCCGCGTGCACCGCCAGAACCATTCCTCGCATCCGACTGTGAGGCTCCTCAGCCCGAGTCCTGTGTCCTAGCATGCAGCGCCATACCCGAGACGTCTGGCTCGCGAGGAGCACACAAGTCCCACCCGAGCGGGTCTCAGGAGGAGCAGAGGAGCGATAACGGCGAGGGGTGGTGTCAGCACCGCACCATCTCCAGACTCCCGCGCGATATCGTTAACGTTGCTCCCGTCCCCCTCCCACAGAGCCAAGTACAAGTCGATTGTTCGCCGCATCCGGCGAAGGCTCGAACCTCGTGTTCTGCTCGCGACTGCTGCGATGAGCGTATTTGTGCGCATGGCCGACTTCTGCAGCGCTGACTGAGAAGCGGACGCAGAACAGAACGCGAGGAAATGAGTTATTGCGTCAGGGGCCGGCGGCGAGGTCGGCGCGGGGCGCAGTGGCATAATTGCCAGACCTTTCCTCATCGGGCCACTTTAGCAGCAAAAACGTGAAGGAACTCAAAGCGTCGCGTTGTGCCTCAGACTCGGACGCGGCGAATAGGGTTTGTGGAATGTCTGATGGAATGTTTGTGGAAGCGCGAGCGGGCTGGAGCTGCTGTGGAATGCGATAAGAAGGGGTCTTTGCGGGTCATGCGGGTGTTGTTGATGAGAAGAGAAGAAGAGGAAGAGAGGAAGGAAGGGGCAGGGATGATGCTGAATTGTGCGTGGTGGGCGCAGCGAGGAATCTGAGTTGGTGGTGCGAGCGTACGAAGACGGACGCGACGGGCGACGCCGGGGAGGAGGCACGCCGTCCTCGGCCGCAGAACGGAAGATGCCTGGCATATGTGTAACCTTTTGGGCATGATGCGGACGCACGAGAAGCGAGGAGGATGCGCGCAGGCCGGGAAGAGTTACAAGAACGCCGCGCCTCGCGGCCGCCTCGAGGCGCGCGAGCGATGGAGAATCATGGTGGTTGACCATTGTTCAGTCCATATCCGTATTCCATACAACCATAGTGATAAAAGTGCTTATTATGGCGAGCGCAGACCATTGCACGTCGAACGCTTGTTCCCTCCAATCCTATCTGCTCAGCATTCCTTGTCTACCATTCATATATACCGTATGCGGGGGTGGCACAGCGACCGAGCCTGTGCACCGTCAACGTCCGAACAATTGAGGAATCTTGGAGGCTGGGCTGCTTCTGTATTGGTGATTGAGGCCTTGATCTGGATCGTCGCCTGACGGGCTGGTCTCCTGCAGGTAAGCGCTGGCGTGTATCGAAAAGGGGCTTGTGCGGTCAGGCCGGTGCATGGACTGACGGCAGTCCCTTCTGAACGCGTCTGTCGCGTTCCCGAACCCGTCGTGCGTCGCTGCGAGAGAGGCGTGGCTCGCGACGGGCGTGGTTTCAACGCTGTCTTGGACCAGATCGAATTATGCGTCCGTCATCCGATTCATCCTGACTCGTGCTCTCGCAACTCTCTGCGCTGGAGAGAATATACGGTATGTTTTATGTGGCAGAAGGACGAGAAGGCGCCCTTGACGTGCTCTTTTGATTGGGAGCGAGGCGCAGAACGCCTGCCGCACATGGGCAGGGTGGCCCGGGCGTAACCGCAAAGGGGCTAGTTTGGCGGACAAAGCGGGAAGCGGTTCGGGCTGCGATCAGACGCCACTTTGGGACTGGGAGGGGGCGTGACTGGAAAGCCGGAAGGGGAGATATAGAAAACGGGCGGCTGCCGCGGGATCGTGCCTCTTCTCCCGCTCCCATCTTTCTCTCTGACACAAAGTCCTCTCCCGACGCCCCAAGGGGACCGTCCCATCATATCCTCCTCCTCACCCTCCACATCTTCAAGACTCTCTTCTTTCTTGCTTTCCACGATATCTTTACCATGATCATGGTCCAGAAATCCGTCAACATCATATCCTCGCCGACGGCCATGCACCGGCGTCTCCCCTCGGCCCCTTCCTTCACTCTCCAGGCGACAAGGACGCCCGGTCTTCTCAGCCTTTCCAAGCCGGCACCCGCCGCGCGCCGTGCCCAGAAGCAGGCGCAACCAAAGGAGGTCAAGACATCTCCCAAGGCGGCCAAGAAGGCGGCTGTTTCCGAGAACTCCAAGGACGTCCATGCGTCCAAGGATGTGTCTCCTGCGGCAAAGTCGTCCAAGGCGACGACGCCGGCATCGGCCGAGAAGGACCGGTCCCCCCGCGGCAGGCGCGCAAAGACTGCTGCGAAGGACAAGGCCGCACCCGTTCCCGTTCCCAGGTAAATACATATGGGCCCTATCTTCCGATCTTAACGGTGGCTCATCGTGTTATTTGCTTGTTACTTTTATCGTCGCATTTGTTGCGATCAAAAGGAACGCCTCGCACTCTCGCAACGGGACTCGCCGCCGTCAGGCCCACCACCAGGGCTCCCCGCCTCAGCCGTCGGTTCTCGCCAACCGCCGCTCGCCCTCGCCGGCGCTGGACACTTCAAACCAGTTCGATCCCTTCCTGAGCAACTCCTCGTCAGAGACCGAGTCAGAGAAGGATTCGGGCCGCATCACGCCGCCCCCGGTCTTGAAGACCATCCAGGCACCTTCCAGCGAGCCCAAGCTCGTCTCGCGCCCGTCAGGCAAGCTTGCGCGTCGTCGCCACCCTCTCGCGGACGCTCCCGGAACGCCGACCCCCTCTCGGGCGGTGCCGGTGCCTCGTGGCAAGGCGCAGCCACGTGAACAGGCTGTGCCCATCAGTCGCTCGGCCCCACAACAGCCGGTTCCGGCCCGGCCGAAGCCGACTCACGCCCACACTTCGGAAGTTGCCGCTATGTTCCCCGTCTGCGACGACAACGAAGACGAGGACTCCGTCGACGTTCCCGTGACCTGGCAGCAGGCCGTGCTCAACGACGACGGTCCTCGTACTGCGCCGCTCTCGTCCAAGTTCGTGGACGTGCCGTTCTTTGCCCGCGTCTCGACTCCGACGCCGGCCCGTCGTCGTGCCGAGCACGTCCGCTCTCCCTCCGAGGGCGTCTTCAACTTGAGCTTCGACGACGACAGCTCGACGACTTCTTCCACGGGCCCAGAGGAGCTCAAGGCCCTTGCTGGTCTCCTCCCGCGTCGTCGTATCGTTTCGGCTTCGTCATCGCCGGCCTCTCGTAAGATCGCTGCTCCTGTTCCCACCGATGCTGGCATGTATCCCGCGCCCTTCTTCGCCTCGTCGAACTTCCAAAATTCGCCGAGCCCCGACGAGCTGCCGCCGCCGTCGTTCTAAGCTTATTGCTTATCGTTATGTCGGAGGTAAATCAATCTCACCGGTTTAAGATGTGCCAGGCCTGACATCATCGCACAGAATCAGCAGGCCGCTCACCGCCAAAACCACATCAACCCAGCGTAGTCTGCGTCGGCGCTGATCGCGTCATCACCCTCTGCGTCCACTTGTTTTCTTTTGGCTTTCGTCCACGTCTGTACATCATCTTGGGCTTGGCGGTCCTCCCGCCCTGGTCTCTTCGCATACCCGCTCTTGGTCTTCAACTCGTCATCGGTCATCAACATCTTCGGACACCCGCGCGCTTTCGTCGGGGAAAGGACCAATATATTACCACGGTCCTAGGAGCGCTCACCGTCACATTGCCACATCATTTCGCCTCTCGACACACTACATCGGCGGTGGCGCGCTCCGTTTCCTCGCTTTGTCTCGGTCTCGTTCGTCTCGCACAGCTTTCTGTTTCCATATTGGCATCGCATGCTCTCGCACAACGCACTCGGCAACTCACTCCGGCCCACCACGCAATCTCACCGCTCGACTCGCTCTAGAGGATCACCGGAGTTGTATTCAAAACCGCGTCACCCGGCGCGGCGGCGCACGCTCGCATTCATCCACACGTTCATCGCCTCAGCAATCAACCACACTGTCGAACATCACCTGCAACGCCGTCGTCGTGCCGCTCGTCCGGCCTATATTTTACATCGCACCCTTGCCCACTCAAACCTGCGTGCTTATTTATCTCGCCTATCCGCGGTCGGTCCTTCAAGCCGTTCGCGTTCGTCGTATCAGGGCTACTGTGTCTCCCGTCTCGTCGTTTTGGAACTCTTTTCTCAGTGTCGCGACTCGCTCTATCTCTACTCCCCCCACCCCCATACTTGACCGTCAATCCCCTACTCTCCACCCCCGCCATCGATCTATAGCTAGTCCCTCATCCTCCCCTTCCCGTAATACAGCTCTCCTGCGCACCCATTCCTACTCCCGCCACCCTTCATCTTTTCTTTCTCTTTCTTGTCAAGGAATCGTATAGTTGCTCCGTGTATCAAGTATGAGATATCCCCCCTTCAACTTCATCCACTCACGCCGCTTTTTTGTTTCCTTACTCTTCATCTTCCACCCCTTCTACGCTTGTTCTTGTTTACGACGTCTCCTTTTTCCCATCTTTATTCTCTTGTGTCATGACTTTTCCCTTCTTCCACTTTACGTTCTTACGACGCCCGCCCGCGGGGCTATGTACACCACATTCCTACTGCCCCTCGGGCACAGTCGCGTCGCGCGGCGCTTGTCGCTGTACGTTATCTCTGCTCGCTTTATACCTCATCCATACCCTCTTGCTCATCGTCGCATCTTTGCATTTCTTCCAGGCTTTTACCATCGCACACCCATCGATTCGATCCTGCCCCACACTCCTTCCATTCCAATCCACGTTATACGTTCGCCGGTCGACCCACCCACCATATCCGCCGGACCGACCACCTTTTCTGCACCCCATTTTACGTTGTGTTTCAAGTTTTCGCATTCCGTCGTCTTTTTCTGTCGCCGTCGCATCTGTACAACACCATCCCAACACGGACCGTCCGTTCAGATCCAAGCGCTTTGACTCGTCTGTCTCATCCGATCGCTCTCGTGCCCCCGTCACCCAAGCCCAATACATATACACAATAAAATCAAAGCGCCGCACCGCTCTCGCCGCCATTCGCATCGCACACATTCTATCCTCTCTCTTATTCTTATCCGGTCACTTGCTATTACTGCTTTTCGTGGTAGTCGTTGGATGGATGGGAGGGAGGTTTTGCGGTGGAGGGACGGGAGGGGGTTCGCGCGATTTACTGTACTCTTCTCGCTTCTTTTTTCTGTTGATTGTTGGTTGAGGTTGGTTGTCGGTTTCGTTGCCCGGTGTTGTTTGGGCCAAAATGTCATTATACTTTGTTTGAATTGTCTGGTGTGAAACAAGGGAAAAATCTTCTGTCTTGCCGTCACGACAGGTCTCTTGTGAAAACGTACGGGCTGGTGATACAATACGGTGCGCATATCGAGATGTAAGGCTGCGTCGACAGAGGATTGCCCAGACGACGACGACGCCGACTGTCTTCCCACTCCTTCATAGAAGTACAAGACTCGAGATCCCCTTGTCAACTTGAACAACATCGTGCATTTCAGCGCTCGGACTACAGGCGGTACTTCCATCTGACGATCTATGACCTACAGTGGCATCCTACACCTTCCCATCGGGTGCGGTGGCGTCCAAGCGACGGTGACGCTCGACGACAGTCTATTCCATAAAGGACAGCATCTAAGGATCGTCCGTTCGCTTCGTACATTCCGGCGCGCTCGCACTGCAAGCGGGAGGCATACTTATCTGACGATCTATTGAATGTACCTTCCCATCGGCAACACCGAGCAGAACAAGCAGAACATCACCCTGGCAACCAACGGCCTTCCCACTCCGCCGTAACTCGGTGATTCTGGCACGAGCTGGCTGTGCTCCAGCACAATGGACAAGACCCTCAACAGCGGTACTCGCTCTACTGGCAGTGAACGACTACGTGCCACTCGCTCACGCCTTTGTTCGCCACAACGAGCGTCTCTCTTGTTCTCCTCTGTCCATCATACCCGGCCTTGGCGCCGCTTACAATCGTCCTCCGCAACCTCCGCATGGTACAATGCCCCGCGTGACGCTTCCCCGATTTGCCCCCTGCAGTCGTCCAGCCAACCACGAGAGAGCACGCCTCGCAAATCGAGCATCTCCCCCGCCTTTTGCTGACGGCTTCCCGCATCCCTGAATGGCTCAATCAACGCGCTCTTGACGACGTAGACTGGAGATGCGGCCTCTGCGTGACGACGCAGGGAAAGGTGCCTCGATTCGCCGGCGCTCGTCCAATGAGGCAACTGCCTCGCTTTCTCCCATTGGTTCGCGAGCTGAAGCGGGAGATGCCTGGAAATGCGCTATAGTGGATAATGCGACCTGGCCTCGTGTGGTCCGTACGGCAAGTATAAAGGCTCGAGTACAGGGCGGAGCAGGGCTCCCTTTTTCTTCAGCCGCGCTCCCCCGCCTGCCTTGCTTGCTTGTTCACCCTACAGGGACTGGTCCCCTTTCCTCTCGCTCTCTCTCGCCCCGTCTTACACGCACGCCCGCCACCTTTTCACTCTTTTCATCTCAGCTGGTCTTTCCTTTCAAACGCAAAACCTCCATCACAACAAATAACTCTCAAGTTCTAGTCTCAATCAACGATGTTCGCCAAGCTCATCACCTCGTCTCTTCTCCTCCTCGCCGCGGCCTCCTCCGTCAGCGCACACGCCGCATTTGCACCTGCGCTCGGTGTAGCCGGTGCACCCGCCCGCTCGGACGTTCAGCGTCCCAGCACCAAGGCGCAGTGCGGTAACGCCAACATCGCTACGGCGTTGGCGTCTAGCACGGCTGTTCCGCTCGCCGCTGACGGGACGTTCACTGTCACGGCTACGGACTTCAACGCCGGCGCGGACGGCTCGCGCGCGGTTAAGACTGCTGTTGTCGATGCTACAGGCACCGGCAAGACTTTTGCTGGTACCGTTGCTATCAAGACGAACGGCAATGCCGTGCGTGCCTTTCAAGTTATACTTTCACTGGATCTCGCGAATTGATTGCATCGTGTGCAGAAACCTACGACGGTCGGCTCGGACCAGATCACGCTCCAGATGCCCGCCGGCACGACCTGCACGGGCGGCGCAGACGGCGCGTCATGCCTCGTCTCGCTCACCACCACCGCCGGCTTCGGTAACTGCGTGTACGTCCCCTCCCCCTCTCTCCCCTCATACGTTCGTCTGACCCTCTTCATCAGTGTCGTGAGCAGCGCCGCCACCGCCGGTACCGCGGCCGCTGGCACCGCAGGCACCGCGGCAGCAGCTGGAGCCGCCGGAAGCGCGACCACCGCCGCCGGTGCCGCCACTACGACCACCACCGGCAAGAAGGTCAAGAACCAGGGCGTCGGCTCGGCCGCTGCTCAGGCTGCTGCTGCCGCGAAGGCGCAGAGGCAGCAGGCTAAGGCCGCCGCCGCCGCCGCCAAGCAGGCGAAGGCGAACCAGGCGCAGAACTAAGGGGCTGTTGTGGGGTTTCTTGCGTACGCGTCGTTCTGGACGCTGTTTAGTTTCTTGGACTGGGTTGTGTGATGTATTCTTTCCATAGTGGCGTATTGATGAGGGAAGGACCTTTCCTGCATAGCATGAAGTGCGAAAGCCCCGCTGGTTAGAGCAAATCCAAGTAATACAAGATGAAGCCCGCGGGATCTGAGTTGCACCTGGGCTCAGTAAGTATGTATCTCATGCACTTGACGTCGACCAAGTCTACTCGTAAATCTACCGCAGATGTAACGCTGAAGCTCGATGATATGGACTGGTTGAATGACTGAACGTGAACTTGGTTGAAGTACGGTGGCGGCGGAGGGTCGTGATCCGTGGGAACCACTGTGAAGCCGAGATCAAACACGTTCGGCGAGCGGTTTCCGGCTTCGCCTCTGACCGCGACGTACGGTGACCATCCGGTACGGTGCAGTGCGAAAGCGACCATCTTCATACATTCCATTGGCATCCTGTGCATCAGCTCGTTCTTCCCTCCGGCCAGTCCATATATATCCGAAGACATCCGTCGTCTACCTTCGGGACCGACGGTAACGAGCATACGTTCTCTCCGTTGCCTTCGGGGCTTGGGTTCCACTTAGCTTGGTTATGCTCTATGCGCCTCTGCAACAAGTCCGACTTCTGGTTCATGTGCAACACTGTGCTCATTGCACGATCGTGGTCTACCTTTCAAGTCGATCATATCTTACTGTGCAAGTACCGTACTCTTTGAGCCAGCTTTTCGCAAACTCGTGGCGGTCGCCGCATCATAGCCTCGATTCTCCCGTATCAAGCCTCTCTCCCATGCGCAGGGAAGACGCGTCAACTGTCAGAGGACCACTCCACCGAGAAACCAAAGGGCAGAGGCGGGAGTCTCAGATGCATCAGTTGTCAAGTTGCGACGCACAGCCAGGCCCGTCGCCGCCTACTTATAAGACGAAGATGATCGCAAAGAGTTAAGCACAGCTTCCGACTTCCTCTGCCATGGTAGACTGGACTAGCCCTCGCACTTTGGACGCCCAGTCCGGCATGTATTTCTGATTGCAGTTCGCGAGGGTCGGATGAACATGCGCTGATGAAACTCTTAGTGGCCCTTGGCAAGCTCATGTTGACGTTACTAGGTGTCTACCTGTCGGTATACCAACCGTGAAGCTCTTCGCGTTATTAATTGGATGCACTAGCTACGAAGTTATAATCTCAATCGTATCTGACTGGCGGCTTATCACCGCGAAGCAATTGCAACGACGCTCATTCTTGGCTCGAAGTGTCAAATGGGTATGCATTCTTGCGATCATCGCGAGGCCACGTAGACTCACAAGTGCCAGTTATACGTAGCGTGCAAGATCTTTGGCTTAATGGCGAGCATTGGGTTCGCCGTACCATTTACGTGGACGGGTCATTCGCAATGTTTGGTGAGTGCCTTCGTTCTCTCGAGCTTGTAATGATCTAAATGACAGAGCAGACGGACGAGCTCTTGGTCAATGTAGGCTGCTGAAGGCGATCATGGTATGAAACCAAGTCGATTGACAAATTCAGATCATCTCGCTCTTGGCTGTCACAACAGCTACGGCTCTTTTGTTCATCAGAGTGTACGTGTTCCTCACATGGATTGTCAGCCACAATTGTCAGTCGTGATTGCATGCTGACCTGTATCGCAAGTGGAGTGGTATGGCGATGGGATATTCGAGTCACTACGGTGTCTGTGCTTCTGCAAGCGACCAACTTTTCCCTCGGTATTTACGGTGTGTTTCGCGAACTATTCTGATCATCCACATTTCCGTACAATGACGACATCTCCTCTAGGCATAGTAGAAGTACGATGTGAGATTTTACTTGCGAGATATTATGGCTGAACTTCCCGTCACACAGTTTTGGCTTGAGGAAGCTGCACGTCACCCTTCATTCCTCCTGGCTCGAGGATGCTCCTTGCCTTTGGGGTTCAATTCAGATCGATTTTACGCCATCACAGTATTTGGGACGGACGTGGTCCTTCTTTGTATGCTATTCACCGGCCTCAGGCGATGGAAATACGCCGGGGCATTCGGTCTGTGGCAACTTTTGTGGAATCAGGTCGTCTTGCACCTCTCGTCTGCTCCCAGAACGCCGAATGAACATCACGTCTAGGGTCTTGTATACCTAATGTTGCTCATCGTCATAGAGGTGCCCTTTCTGGTGAGTCCTTCCTATGTACATCCAATCTTGCTCGTCTTACACGATATACAAGACCTTCTTGGCCCTGAATCTGAACGGTAAGCTCGCTCACCCGACTCGCCTTCTCCCGAGGACTCAGATGGAGGGCAGACGTTACATCTATCGTAAGTGTGTCATGGCCTGATCAAGTCAACGCGCAATGCTCACGCTGCTCGTAACAGGCGTTCTCCACACCAATGGGTTCGTAGTCAGTTCGCATACACCCACATGACACACTTACCCCGTGACTATCATAGCGCTCATGCTGTTCGTAACATCACTTGCTACCATCTTGTGCGTGATCTACAGACACACTCAACATTTTCGCAGGCCTATCGCTGCTACGCGGTTCTACCGTTCGTTGAGCAGCTTTGCGGACAACCGGCGGACATATGAATCCGTGTTCGTCATCTTGCTCAGGTTCGGGTTACCCTCTCAGCTCATCTCGATGTCGCAGAGATCTCCCTTCGCTATCAGGATCCTGATATTCATGACGCGGTAGTTTGATTCACCGGTCCCGTGGGAGGGGAGCGTTGTCGACGGCGACGCGAGCGAGCCGTGTACGATCGAGGCCGCAGGCGGCACTGTGCGGTATTATCCGACGCACGGTAGTCTTGCACGGTAGTCTTGATCTCTTGTACTAAGCACCCTTCTATGCCATGTAAGGAGACGCGTCGAGAAGTCCGTCGACGTCGCGGCGCGTCCCGTCGCCAACGAGCGATCTCGATCAATGCGTAGTCTATGCTAGCCGTCCAGATCTTCGTTCCAAGGGCTGAGGCAAGCGCTTTTGCATATTCGACCCATATACGTCCAAGAAAGCAGCGCGGAAGGACGAAATGCTCAGCTCGAAAGCCGTGAGAGCGGCGGAACGATCGGCCCCCCACTCCGCGCGTCGCAATTTGCGGCAGCTTGAGTAAGCCTTGAGCGCGACCATCATGTCGTATTGGATAGGGAGACATCGTCAAACTCGCCTTCCTCCTCTGCAAACACTCTCGTTCGAATATGATATGGCTTGGCTACGGCCGTGCTACGGCCTTCTCGCCAGTGCTTCAACGTCAGAGAAGCAAAACCGCGACTAATCTTAAGCCGTGAGACAGCGAGCCGGACGCCCCGAGCGAGGACGCCGCTCAGTCCGAACGGGCAAGGGAGCGCACCCGGATTTCCATCGTGGGCGAACATCATGTACATCTCACTATGTGGCTCCAGAGGGTACATCGTGTATAACACCGAACTGTAGCAGGATTGTTCGTTCGTATGACTGAGGACTGTTGCCATCAGCTATCTCCTGCCTCGTCTCCCTCTCCCTTCGCTGCCTTCTCTAACTCCCAGCGCCTATCACATTCTATCTCTTCTCGCTTCAGTGTGCTCGTAATCGACAACCACCAGTCGAGCAGGTTTGGTCACGGTTGTACCGTCGTCCACCATGCCCTCCTTTCCACCGCCATCGAAATGGTTCTCAACATTGACAAGGAACATTCCTGCACGCCGCTGTGCCTCTGCGCCATCGCTTTGAACTCCAGCAAATTGCGTGCGGGTTGCTATGGCAGAGTTATCCAGCGTCATCAAGCTCAGTAACGTCACGTCGTCGATGGGTGCGGGTCTTCCGGAAGCATCCGTCGTACCCAGGATATACGCTCCCAGCACCACCATGAGAATGGCCAATGCCATACCAACGAACAACATGTAAACGTTGAACTACAAGATGCTCAGCCATGCCGGAGACTCCCTCCCATTGCTTGAGACCACTCACCGACAGACGACCCACGAGAATATGACGCGTGACCCTCATGTCAAAGGAGGGTGTAATGACATCCCGTTCCGAATAAGGGCCCTGTGCAATGGTCAAACGAGCTATCGATCTGAATTGCTGGCGAATACTTGCAGTAGTCGTATATGTTTTGAGTGTACCGGGGACATCCGTAGCGGACCACATCGTCAGGGCCGTGGTATATGCTAGGACCCATTCAAGCCAAGGGATATAGGAGGGCTGATCGTCGCCGGTGATAGCTTCTGTCACTGCCGAGAGATGTCAGCGAACCTAGTGGGGACATCATATGTCGTGAAAGCGGGACATACAGACGCTCTCTATGAGCGTAGGCACGTGACATTGCTGATACATATCCTGCAGACGAGACAGGTTCCATCGGTTCTCGACTGTACCATTTGCACCCAACGCCGGTAGATAGTCAACGCAAGACCATTGGTTCCCGATAGGGACAGGTTGATCGCGCCACAGGCCTACCATGTTATTGGGCAGGAACATCGACGCCCACATGTCCTCCGGTCTACAGGGCTGCGTTAGTTTGCTACACGTCGCAGAAGATCCGGGGACTCGCTTTGTGGACTTCGTCAAGTCGGGTTGCCAATCTGCTTCCCAGGAACTGGGTACGGCAACAGGGTCACACCAGTTCACTAAGCCATCGAAGGCATCCGCACTGACGTCCAACATGTTTGTGGTAGCGTCTAATCTCGACCGGCCGGTGGCCGTATACACTGAGCACCCGATGGCTTGAATCATTAGTCCCGTAGTGAGCGGGGGAGCCCCGTCAGGGCGCTGCACGACAAGCGGCCATGAGGGACCTGTTGAATTTTGGGAATCTAGGATGGGTCGACTACCATTACCGGGCACTGGCGCCAGGCCGGTGACGTTGCCGTTGTAGATGTTGTAGAGGATGAGGTTTCTCCCGATGCCCGGAATGACGCGACTGTCCGGTACGCGCACATATGTACCTTTGAACAAGATCAGAGTTGCGTCTCTCAAGTGAAACTGATTACACGCACGTGATGGGTACCACAACTGATTGGCTACATCGGATGCGTTTCCGAAGGACAAAGTCATGGTATCGTGTAGTGTCATCGGCTCAGATCCGAGGGTGTAGTTGAGCGTGAGAAGAATCGGCAGGCGGAAGTCGGCGCTGATGTTGCCAAATGCAGTCGCCGATAGAGAGGCATGTGGAATGCTCCCACAGGATGAATAGAACCGCGTGTAATTGACATCGGCATACCCAGTATGGGGAGGTGAAAAGGTCTCACTCAAAGAGTCGAACACCATAGCGCGACTCCCGTCCATGCCCCAGAAGGACTGACCGCCGTTGAGGAATGAGTTGCCTTGAAGGCTCATGCTGGTCATATACCAATCGAAGGTCACGTCGGAGAAGTCTGTTGGTGTGTCGGTCAAGCCGGGGGGCAAGAGCGCCTCTAGAGCGATACTAGCCGGCCGCGCGGGGCGGAACACAGTCTCCGTGGAGTTGACTGTCGGGACATTGAAGATGAAGGACGAGCTGATTCCGAGGCCCGAGAGAGTCGCGAGGTAGACGGTGATCAAGAAGACGTCCAAGAATGCCGCGTTGAAACGGTAGTTGTGCCACAGATTGACGATGGAAGATCCAAGCCCATGCCAGGCCGTCATCCGGTCGGACAACGTCGTGAGCGGTTGAGGAAGGTTATCGAAGATCGCAAGGGTTGAGATAGGCTGCATGACAGCGACTATGGCGATAGAGAATAATAGCATGACGATCTGTAGGATGCTCTCAATGATCGCTCCGATGCACGAAGCCTGGACATAATACGAACGTGGTTGATCAAGTTAATGACCGTCTGAAGATGCGTAGCGCTTTCCAGGCTCACTTCGACCTTCTGCTCTGCACCCAGCAGCCAGACGATGAAGAGCATGAGATAGAATGCCAGCACACCGAAGTGCAGTAGCATCTGTTTGCCGACGAGCATCTCGGTGCTAAGTCTGAATGGCGGTCGTGGTGCCCTACCCGCTGAAGATCGTGAGGACGCGAACGTGATCACTATTATCTTCGCGATGATAGTACACACCTTGAGTGCGAGGCGTTACACCTGAGTTCTCTAAAGCAACCCAGCCGTCCTTGTGTACTCGAGCCCTGCAGAGTTGAGATCATATATCGGATGTCCGCCGAAGCACAATGGATGGACAGGCATACTGTGGCGATCGTTCTCCGGAGGATGACACGTATGCACCAGTGTCCACGCTTTCGTCGCCATCGTCGTTGTAAACCATGCTTGAGAGCGGTAGGGTAGAGGTATTCACACAATGGGCAGGGGCGCATCGTCGAGCGCTGGGGCAAACCCTTATATGCTTCACATTCGCGGCCACGGAAGGCGGGATATCCCTCGGATGGCGCGAATGTTAAACCTGTTGCGAGCCAGTCGGCTACGCGTGGACTACATCAGCATGACCTTCTTGCGCGCCGGATCCCTTGCCGTTGAAGAGCGATCGAGATCCCTCAGCTCCTCGAACGCCATCGCATAAGTACTTTGTCCCCACGGCCACGCCTTGTGCCTGCATGATACACGGCCTTTCCTTGCTTTACTCTTGAGAACTTGTCAGAATCTGCAGTGTTGCTGGTTAGTGGATGTCATTGCGCGGCCTTCTAATCTTGTATGGGATCGACCGTTTACAAGAAGGGTTAGATCTGCGAACGCGAAGCCTTTCAACAGCTCGCCACTAGAACAAGGTCAGCAAACGTTATACTCTGCGAACAAAGTACTACGCTTATCATAAGTCCTTGGTATCTCGTTCAGCCTCGAGCTGCAGACAATAGCATATGTATGTCGTGAGGTGAATGGCCTGTATATGAACCATGCGAGGCTGAGGCCATGAGTACCCGACCACCTTATCAAGGTTTATCCTGGTGGAACAACTTCCCTACCGGGTGTTCCGTGCCCGTTTCATACACATGGTGGCGTTTCAGCCTCACAAGGTTCATTCTTGAATTGAAGTGACTGGCGCTCGAGGACGTGCCGTAGTACTTACGCCTGAGCTGCGTCTACGAAGAGATGACCCAATTCAGCGCCAGCCAGTATGAAGGTCGGCTGGCGTCTACTAGCGATACAGCCCTGGCCATTCATGAAGCTGGCTTCCAGTGCAAGGAGGGGTGGTTGCTCGACGCTTCGATCTCTATGGACCGGTGAACACGTGGATGGGAATGCTTGAGGCCGTTTAAACCGAAGTCGAGCTCTGCGTGATTGAGTTGGCACTGGCCGTGCACTGTGTGTAAGGATTGTAGCGGGGGAAATGGCCATGACCGTCGTAGTCAAGCGCCGACCCGCGCGTTGGAGAACTGGCCGCACTTGCTTTCGCTTCCACCATCACCATGTTCATCTCCACCTTCCCGGCTCCGCCAGCCAAACATATCTCTGAAACGCGCCGTGGTGATCACCTTAGCTTCGCAAGTCAAGCATGCAAACTAGGGTGATCGCGTGCGTCCGATACGTTGCATGCGCGCACTATGTCGGGCGATCTGATCGCGGTTACTGATATGCTGCAGGCATGCGACAAGCACACGAAGTTAGCACTAACAGCGTCACTCTATACGGCCATGCTTCCCTCAGCGAGTGGGATTCACCCAGCTACCGTCGGACGAGAGAGTTCTCGTATGGAAAATGCCAAGCGGCGCTGCGTCCTAGCCAGGACTATGCGACGTAACTTCGTACGACCCTCGAGTCAGGGTGATTGGACGAGAAGAATATAGATGGACTTGAAGAGGCATGGATGAAGTCGCTGAGAATATTGCGATAAAAACGCATCTTCCATGTCGATGCACTATGCGGTTCTGGCTGGCTATCGTCAGGTCGATGGCGGTGCGCTATATATTTCTCCAGTCG